CAAGACCATAGTGACCTTGGCACAGCATAAATATGTGGCCCATATCCTGTCCAGTTCCTTACAGACCCAGCTTGGTTCTTCTCCAGTGTGTCCTCTTGGAGTTGTATCTGATTTTATTACCAGTTTTCATTCTAATCCACTGGGGAAAAGGACGATTTCGTTTCTGTTTTTTGGCCAGAAACCACTTGATTCTGAAAGTCTTGTGAGAAGACATGGCGAAGAGCCGAGGGAACCGCTCACCCCACGATGGCAGAGAAAGAAAGAGCTGCACTTACTCTTAAAAGAAGCATGCTAAAGGGACCAGCAGTTAGCGTAATGGCTATGTCGCTGGACTCCCATGTAGTCGACCGCGGTTCACGTCCCAGACCCGGTGGCTTAAACTCACGCCAGGCGCGTGTGTGTGCGTGCGTGCCCAAGATCCCGAGAGGAGAATGGAGGAGAAGGGATTGTGGTGTGGCCATCTCCCCTGGGGGGTGATTTCTCGCTTTCTATCTCTCTGTCTCTCTCTGTCTGTCTGGCGAGCGCACGTGCCCTATAGCAAAAACCTCTCCGGGGGGGAAAAAAAAAGAAACATGCTAAAGAATTTAGAAAGACTTTAGAACCAAGTGTGTTTTATTTATTTTTTTTTTATTTTTATTTTTTTTAGTTTTTTTGCTTTTGGGCATGTGCGCTCACCAGAAACAGAGAGAGACAGAGAGAGACAGAAAGCGAGAAATCACCCCCCAGGGGAGATGGCCACACCACAATCCCTTCTTCTCCCGGGATCTTGGGCTCGCACACACATGCACCCAGCATGAGTTTTAAGCCATGAGTCTGGTACTCTAATCACATTCTAATCACGCTGACTACGTGGGAGTACAACAATGTAATCATTCACCATCTGTTGGTTCTGAGAAGCCAAGTATATCTTGATTTTTTTTTTTGAGAGGTTTTTGCTATAGGGCAAGTGCACTCACCAGAGAGACAGAGAGAGACAGAAAGCGAGAAATCACCCCCTAGGGAGGATGGCCACACCACAATCCCTTCTCCTCCATTTTCTTCTCAGAGATCTTGGGCACACAGGCACACGTGTCTAGCATGAGTTTCAGCTGCCGGGTCTGGGACTCGAATCACAGTTGACTACATGGGAGTCCAGCAACATAGCCGTTAATGCCAACTGCTGGTCCCCCAAGTGTATCTTAACTTTCAAGTGGATTAAACTGTTTCTGATGAACTTGGTTTAACACTTTGGTTAACACAAACATTCATTTTTAGCAACATAAATGAGAATAACTACAAAGATTTTGGATAAGCAACAAGATACAAAAGTACTTTTCTGGTGTAAGTACAAATCTTTTGGCTTAGGAACTTTTTAAACCAAGTAATTAAATAAATAGAATTAAGTGATATGATATCCCTGTCCTGAGTTCTTCAGGTAGAGTAAGGTGTTATATATGTGGTAACACAATTGGTTTCTAAAAAGATTGAATGTTTTTGTACTGAATTGAAGTTCTACCCAAAGCATTCCTAAGGTTCCTGTGAGTTCATTAACTTCTGCTTGGCATATAATCATACATGATTCTCTTGCTTCTTTGAGGTGAGAATATATTTTATTTCCTAAAACCCATACTATAAAGATCAAATTCCAGAAGGTGTAATGGTTACATTGCTGGACTCCCATGTAGTTGACTGTGGTTTGAGTCCTGGACCCGGCGGCTTAAAACTCACGGCAGGCACATGTGCATGCATGCCCAAAATCACAATAGGAGATTGGAGGAGAAGGGCTTGTGATGTGGCCATCCTCCCTGAGGGGTGATTTCTTGCTTTCCATCTCTCTGTCTCTGTCTCTCCAGTGAGCGCATACACCCTATAGCAAAACTCTCTCTAAAAAATAAAAAAAAAGATGTAATTCCTAAGTGTGTTTATGCCACTCAGAAATAAAGCTATACTGGGAGGGGGGAGAAAGCATTGATTTAGCAAATTTTACATCTAGATGTATTTTCTTTGTATATTATAAACAATTATTTAACTTATTACAGTTTGAAGTAAAAATTTTCCAAAATATATGCTCAACAATAACCATTAAAATGTTTGTAGGGAACCAGCAGTTAGTGTAATGGCTATGTCGCTGGACTCCCACATAGTCGACCGTGGTTTGCGTCCCAGACCCGGTGGCTTAGAACTCATGCCGGGCGCATATGCGTGCGTGCCCAAGATCCCGAGAGGAGACTGGAGGAGAAGGGACTGTGTCGTGGCCATCCCCCCTGGGGGGTGATTTCTCACTTTCTATCTCTATGTCTCTCTCTGTCTGTCTGGCGAGTGCACACGCCCTATAGCGAAAACCTCTCCAAAAAAAAAAAAGTTTGGAGCAGAGCTGGCAGGTGGCATGGTGGTTTAGGCTCTAAACACTCCCACATGACCGACCATAGTTCAATTCCTGGACCTGGTGCCTTGCTTTCTCACTTTCCTTCTCTCTCTGTCTCTCTCTGGTCAAATTTAAAAAGTAAATGAATAAATAAAACGAAAATAATTATTTTTTAGAAATTATTTTATTTAGCTTTATTTATTTATTTAGAGAGGAACAGAGTGAGAGAGCAAGAGAGCAAGAAAGAGAGAGTGGAAAGTGAGAAACCAAGTCACCAGGTCTGGGACTTGAATCGTGGTTGACCATGTGGAAGTCCAGTGCCCCTAGACACCCCTAACCACCACACCACCTGCCGGCCCCTAAAATAAATCATTCTTAATAGGTTAGCAGCATAGAAGAAGAAGAAGAAGAAGAAGAAGAAGAAGAAGAAGAAGAAGAAGAAGAAGAAGAAGAAGAAGAAGAAGAAGAAGAAGGAGAAGAAGAAGAAAAGAAAGAAAGAAAGAAAGAAAGAAAGAAAGAAAGAAAGAAAGAAAGAAAGAAAGAAAGAAAGAAAGAAAGAAAAAGAAAACACAAAAATAACCACAATAAAGTAAATCAGGTCCAAGTTAGATGCTAGAATCCAAGAAAAGAATTTCCAGAATTTCCAAGTAGAGTGACTCATGTTAGGAATGACTAAGGTTTTAGAGACAGATCTGATTTCCAGAAATCCTGAGTAAACAGAGCTCTGGCTTTGACATCACGGGCACACCTGTGTCTCATTCTGGTTTTGTTAGGTGATAGGTAATCTGGGATAAAATTATTTTTTTTTAATTTTTTGCCAGGGGGCACATGAGCTTGCTGGATAGAGACAGAGAGTGAGAAAGCCTCATGGGGCATGGTCACGCTGCATCCTTTCTCTTCCATTTCTCCCTCCTTTTAAGACGCTGGGCATGTGTGCATGTGTCTGGTGTTTTTTAAGCTACTGAGTATGAGACTGGAACCATGCAGTCGGCCATGTGGGATCTGACACCTTGCTTAGAAAAGTAATTTGGACCAGCCAACAATTTTCTTGCAATCGCATGGTGTAATTTACATACTTGAAATGTCATCTATTAAAAGGATAGGTGGGAGGGACCAGCAGTTCGCGTAATGGCTTTGTCGCTGGACTCCCATGTAGTCGACCGCGGTTCGCATCCCAGACCCGGTGGCTTAAAACTCACGCTGGGCGCATGTGCGTGTGTGCCCAAGATTCCAAGAGGAGAATGGAAGAGAAGGGATTGTGGTGTGACCATCCCCCCTGGGGGGTGATTTCTTGCTTTCTGTCTCTATGTCTCTCTCTCTCTTTCTGGAGAGTATACGTGCCCTATTGCAAAAACCTCTCCAAAAAAAAAAAAAAAGGATAGGGGGGGACCAGTAGTTGGCGTAATGGCTATGTCACTGGCCTCCCATGTAGCTGACCACAGTTCGAGTCCCGGACCTGGTGGCCTAAACTCATGCCTGGGCGCATGTGCATGCGTGCCCAGGATCCCAAGAAGAGAATGGAGGAGAAGGGACTGTGGCATGGCCAACCTCCCTGAGGGGGTGATTTCTCGCTTTCTTGCTCTCTGTCTCTCTCTGCCTTTCTGGTGAGCACACGTACCCTACAGCAAAAACCTCTCCAAAAAAAAAAAAAAAAAAAGGATAGTTGATTTTTAGTACACTTAAATATTTGTGCAACCATTACCAAAATGTAGTTTTAGAACACTTCCATCAAACCTTAAAGTTGTCTCATGCCCTATTTGTAGCCAAAGCTGGCTCCCAGCCCCAGCTTCAGCAACTACACATCTGTTTTCTATACCTGTCAACGGACTTTTTATAGAAATTTCAATACAATCACACAACATATAGCTTTTGTATCTGATGTAATGGTTTTTAGGTTCATTCATGTTACTGCACGTTTTGGTTCATTTTTATTGCCAAATAATATTCCACTTTATGGATATACCACATGTTGTTTACTCATCCACAAAATAATGGACATTTGGATTTTTCCACTTTTTGTCTACCGTGGATAATCTGCCATAAACACTTATCTACAAGTCTGTGGACATATATTTCATTACACTTTCATATGCCTTGGGGTGGAATTGCTGAGTTATATGGTAATTTTATGCTTGCTTCTTTGAAAAACTATCCAACTGTTTTCCAAAGTGGCTGTACCATTTAACATTCTTACCATTAGTGTGGAAGGGTTCACTTCTCCACATCCTTGCAACACCTGTTATTTTCTGCCTTCTTGATTATAGACATTCTATTGGGTATGAAATAGTATTTTATAATGATTTCAATTTGCATTTTCCTAATGATTAATGATGCTGAACATCTTTTCACATTCTTATTTCCCATTCACAAATCTACTTTGGTAAGCTATCTATTCAAATGCTTTGTCTACTTTGAAAATAAGTAATTTGTCTTACCATTAACTAGTAAGTTTTCTTTATTCTGGATACAAATCTTTGCATTTTTTATACATGATTAGCAAATATTTTCTCCTAGCATGTAAATTTCCTTTTTCTGGTGATACATTAATCAGAGGTTTTAATTTCATTAAGCCCATTTATTTATCTTTTGTAGATCATGACTGTGGTGTCATGTCTATGCAATCTTTGTTTTACCCATAGTAGAAAAGACTACTTACCCTTTCCGGCCCAGCTGAAGTGCTGTAGTGGTGTGACCCCTGCAGTGAGACACTGGAGGCCATATGGGAAGGCTCTGGGTTTGTATCTTGGGTCCTCCTGAGCGTGCCAGGTATACACACGGTGCTTGCTAACTGGAGGGAGGATCGTGGCATGAGTACCCCATTGAGAGTGCACTGTTTCCCCTCTCTCAACATACAAAGCAAATAAACTTAAAACAAAACAAAACAAAATGGGCCAGTTTGTGGTGTGGAGGTTAAGGAGGTTGGTCCCCCATGGCTGACGGCTGATGGTGCCACTCACATCCCAGAGCCTGTGGCTTGAAAAACCCCCTGGGCACTTATGTTTGTGTACCCAAAAATCCAGAAAGGAGGGAGAGATGGAGGAGAAGGGAATCTTCTGACCATTCCCTATGAGGGGTGCTGTCTCACTTTCCCTGTCTCCATCACTGTTTCTCTCTGGCAACCGCACATGTCCTCGGGCAACATTTTTTAAAAATTACCCTTTCTCCATTGAATTGTTTCAGCACTGTGGTTGAAAAATCAATTGGTCATAACGTAGAGTTTATTTCTGAACCACTTATTCTGTTCCATTGATCTCTATACCTATCCTTATGTCAACATCACGCTGCCTTCATTACCAAGTCTGAAATCAGGTAGGGTTTAAGTTCTCTGCCTTTTGCCTTTTCAAAATTGTTTGATCTATTCTGGGTTCTTTGTAGTCCATATAAATTTTGAGGTCAAATTTTGTCAATTTCTAAAATGAAAATAGCTTGCTGGCATTTTAGAAGGGATTGTACTGAATCTGCGGATCAATTTAAAGAGAACTGTCACAAGTATTCAATTCATGGACATGGTGTTTATTTATCTAGATCTTTGATTTCTCTCAGTAATGTTTTGTAGTTTTCAGTGTATAGGTCTTGTATTACTTTTACTAATTTTATTCATATTTTTAAAAAATGATTATTTATTTTACTTACTCATTCATTTTTTAATTTTACCAGAGAGAGACAGAGGTTCAGAATGAGAGAGAGAGGAAGCGAGAAAGCAAGCCACCAGATTCAGGACTCGAACCCTGGTCGGCCATGTGGGAGTGTCCAGTGCCTTAACCACCACGCCACCTGCTGGTCCCCTTATTCATATTTTTAATGCTCATGTAACGGAACTGTTTTCTTAATCTCATTTTTCAAGTTGTTCACTGATGGTATATATATTTAAATATAAATGTATCCTACAGCTGTGCTATGCTTAATTTAGAATTATTTATTTAATTTTATAATTAGTATTATGTAATTTGACCAGAGAGAGATAGGGAAAGTGAGAAAGCAAGCTGCCAGGTCCAGAACTCAAACCGTGGTCTGCCATATGGGCTTTATCTATCACACCACCTGCATGGTGGTGCTTAATTTTTTTTTTTTTTTTTTGTGGTGCTTAATTTTTAAAGCTCCCATTTTCTCATGTGTAAAATGGGGTATGTACCTAGCAAGGTTTTTGTGTGAAATAATATATATAAAATTTGAATAGAAGGCTGGAAAGGGAGCCTCTCCCAAAAAATAAAAATCCTCTTGCCTCAAAATGTAGGGTCACATTATCATGCAGAAAGTGAAATAACCAGGATACATATGGTATAGAGGCAGGAGCCAATCACCTATACTTCATTATCTGCAATTGTATGATTAAGCAATTTTACTTCATTTTCATTAAAATAGATAAAACAAAGATGCTGGCATATTTTTCTATGTGTATTTTAATGGCAATAACTCAATAAACATTTATCGAGTATAATAAAAGCAACAGTTACTCATATACCCCCGGCGAAGTAATAGTAAGGGAAGGGAGTAAAGAACATTTTGAGGGGACCAGCAGGATGCAGAGGCATGACAAGCTGGTCTGAGAAAACAAGTAGAAGTCTTCCAATTGATTACAAAGCAAAGCGGAGCCAACTGTTGGCGTGGTGGCTGGATCCCACAAGGCTGACTGCCTGCCGACTGCCAGGTTGGAGTCCCAGACCTGCAAGTTTGAAGAACACCCAGCATGAGCGTCTCTGCTGGCCTGCACCCAAATTCCCAAGAGGGATTGCAGTGTAATCCCACCTCTTCCTCTCCCTTTCCCTCCGCTTTGCTCGTACTCCGGTGAGCACAGTACCCTGTAGCAATTTTTCTTTTTTTTTACAGACAAGCCGTGGGGCATTACAGATAGAGCCACAGGTTCAAATATGAAATTGGTAAGTAGCTACCACTGAATCAACACTTACTCTATGCACTCAATCTTACCCTCACAACAGCCCATGAAATAGTTTATTATCCCAATGCACAGATAAGGCTACGCCCAAATCACAAAACTCTTGGGTGGCAGGGCCAGATTTGAAACTGGGGTTTTCTGACTTCAAAGCCCAGGCTCTGGGTCCAAACAGCTGTATGTACTGAAGGTGTGGGAAGCAACATGGTACTATTGGGGTGAGCGATGAAATGCCGGCACCCACTCTCGCTCGCTTGACGACAGGACAACTGAGACTAGAATTGGAGGTATCGAATAAATGCATGATTTCAAACACCGGTAACCATCTCAGCTCTGTCCACCGAAAAGGCCTGGAAGCAATGACAACCAGCCACGATTCGGGTGGGGTCTGCAAAGACCTCCACGTCTGCTCCCCGACCTCCCCATAAGCTTCTCTGCCGTATTCCATCATCACCTCGCTAGGGACCCGGTGCCCTTCACCTGCCTGTGTCTTCTGAAGTCTATTAAGCGACACCTTAAGTAAAAGGCCCAAGCGCCTGCAACACCGACCGCCATTAAACCACCGCAAAGCGCCCAGAGCCAGACACCAGGTGGGCGGCGCCCGGGACAGCCGAGGTGAGCCGGGCCGTGGGCGGGACCGTGCCGCTCCTGCGTTTGTTATTGAACAGCGTAGCTGCCAGTCGCGGGCTCTCTGACGTTCCACCCCTTCCGCGCAGGCTGTCGGTTAAATGGCGGGCGTAGGGGGTTGGCGACTTCCGGTAGAAGGCAGAAAGTTGAGCCGAAGGAGGGGCTGCGAAGAGGGAGGAGGAGGAAGAGGAAAGGGCCGGGCAGCAGCGGCTGTAAGGTTGTGCGGCGGCAGCGGCTCTCCTCGGGGCGGACGATGGACAGCCAGGGCAGGAAGGTGGTGGTGTGCGACAACGGCACCGGGGTAAGTGCCCGGAGAGGAGGCCGCGCTGGCCCGGGGCCCGGGCGGACGTGTGCGGGGGCGCGCGGGTCATCGGCGCCGCTGGTTGCACCTCTGGGCCCTCGGCCGCCGGGACGAAGGGGCTCGGGGCCGCACTTCTCTCGTTCGTAAGGCAGCTTGGGCAGCGAACGGGCCGGGCCCTGGTCTCCTTCGCAGCCCGCCGCCCCCGCAGCGCTCCGGATCGCATCGGCTGGCGAGATCCGCGCGGGACGCGGGTCCCACCTGCTGCCCGCCCGGGGTCGGCCGGCGCCGGGGCGGGCGCGACTCGGTTGCAGTCCGGGGAGGGTGAAAAGCTGGGCTCGTGTGTTTGAGGAGGGCGTCTTTCCGCGGGGTCGCGGGAGTGTAAAACAGAGAAGGACCTAAAGGCCTTCCTGTTCCTGTATGGTCGAAGATACCCAACCAGAGGCAGGAAACGGGTTTACAGAAAAAAAGGGAAGTGCTGTCATGCAATGGTCCTCAGCCCTTTCGCAGTGTTTCTTGAGGGTTTGTTGTGGGGGGGAAGGTTTCTGTTCTTTTTTTTTTTCTTTGAGGGAAGGGTAGGCCAGTTCGTAGCGCATCGTTTACTTTTTATTCTGTACATGGTAGTTTGGCCCAAGCTCAGCCCCACAAGGATCACGATCCATTGAATGATACGGGGGAGATCTAGGACCCCGCAAGGCCCAGGAGTTAATTCTACCGACCTAGGCGGAAGCTAATCAATTTGGGGTTCTCTTCCCCTACCAGCGCCCCTTGTTTCCCCTTAGGTACAGAAAACAGATAATTTTAGTCTTTACGATTTTAAAATTGTAAAAAATCTGACCAAAGCACTGATTTAGAAACGATTTGAAAGTTGTTTTAGCCTACCCCACTCTCGTTTTTTAAAAATGTATTTTTGGCAACAAAGTTAGCAAACGAGAAGACGGAAATGTTACTTATTTTGTATGAGTTCTGTAGTGACCATTTTGGTATTGCAACATTTTGTGACTTGACTTCCTTCCCTTCCGTAAATGTGACATATGAATTAAATTCAATTTTGCTTACACTTTAAAGCATTTGGAAACTGGAATAACGGGAAAAAAAGAGCAGGTATTCACGGTCATAGTACTGCCCTCGATTGAAACTTTTTACAGGCTTTTATAAGCAATAATTATGCTAGCTTCATCTGAACTAAGGTAAAAATGGACTAGAGTAAGAAAAGTGTTGTGTAACGGAGCACTAAGCAGACCCCCTTGCTATAGAAAAATGTCCAAGAGTTGATTGCTTTTCAGAAGTGTTAGAATGATCCCATTTGTGTGTGTTCTTTATGTTCCACAAACTTGTATCCATATATGAAAGTTTTGGGGGGGCTACTAAGAAATATTTGTAGTGGTTACCTATGAGAGAAAGGATAAGGGAGTGAGGGAAGACAGAGAGGGCTTCTGAATTATCGAAAAAAAAATTTTTAGCAAAGCATAAATTGTTAAACTATATTTAAACAGACTAAATTAACTATAAACATATATTACTTTTATAGTTAAAATGCAAAGATACTTTTAAAAACCATTAGCCTGATTTCTACTGTAGTGGAAATAAACTTGAAACTGTATAAATAAAATGAAAAATACTTTGAGACTGTGTAATGAATAGATATTCTGGAACCAGCAGTTAGCCTAATGGCTATGTCGCTGGACTCCCACGTAGTCAACCGCAGTTCGTGTCCCGGACCCAGTGGGACTTAAAATTCACGCCGGGTGCGTGTGCATGCGTGCCCAAGGTCCCGAGAGGAGAATGGAGGAGAAGGGATTGCAGTGTGGCCATCCCCCCTGGGGGGTGATTTCTCGCTTTTTGTCTCTCTGGGGAGCGCACACGCCCTATAGCAAAAACCTCTCCAAAAAAAAAAAAATAGATATTCTATGATATTGCAATGGATTCCTCCTCTTTGAGGTGTTCTAGATCATGAGTCCTGTATTTGTAGTGTTTATGAGGTTTTTCAGTATTAGAATAGGAATATTAACTATGATATAAACTAGTTTTTGTTACTGTTTCTTTGGTTTGGCAAACATTTGAAAACTGATAGTCTATATTATTGATTAATTTTAGGTCTAATCCATAATTTAAAAGTTCTGTTCTTTAAAGCAATAAATCTGTTGCTGTGACATAAGTGAGAAAATAGTTAATTCAGAAAAAAGTTATTATTTTGCGTAATGCTTCTGGTTTATTTTAGATTTCATTCAGCTTTTATAGACATGATTGGCTTCAAATGAAGAAACAGCTCTGCCTTGTGAATCATGTAGCAGTCAAGAATGCTACAGTATTTCTGAAAACGTAGAGTAGGAGCCACTTGGAATCTGTGTTCTGTTTTCTACTGTTCATAGTTCTAGACATGGTCATCTTGATTTTATTTAGGTTCATGACATTATGATTCCTTTACAGGTAAATATTTAAAGAGAAAATCAGCTTTTTTTTTTTTTTAATTCATAGAAGTAGTTGTTACCCTAAAGTGTTTTCATTTGCCCTTGTATGCTTTAGATTTTAATATTATACTTTTAATTAAGAAGTTAACAGTATCTTTCTTTTAACCCCGCTGACAGACCCAACATGGAGTGGATGCTCTTTTGTACAGGTCATCCTTAGGATCATATCCAGATGTTGGTCATTTCCTTACTGTCACCAGCTAGACCGTTTGGGTGGCCTAGAGGAGAAAAACTTAAGTGATTATAATGATTTATGCACTTGCACCTCTTAACCATTTAAACCTACCTTCTAAAATAGGATTGGCTGAAATCTGGAGATCTTTGAAGGTCTAGGTCTAGTCTCTTTCAGGAGTTGGGCCCGGCCCATGGTGTTGTGTATGTTACCAAATGTGTGTGATTTCTTCAGCAGTGAGTTATTGGGTCGTCGGAAAAGGTGCGAGATATTTTTCTTTCTCTTTTTTTTTGGAGAGGTTTTTGCTATAGGGCCCGTGCGCTCACCAGAAAGACAGAGAGAGACAGAGATAGAAAGCCAGAAATCACCCCCCAGGGGGGATGGCCATGCTGCAGTCCCTTCTCCTCCATTCTCCTCTCAGGATCTTGGGCACACACGCACACACACACGCCCTGCATGAGTTTAAGCCACCGGGTCCAGGACTCGAACCGTGGTTGACTACATGGGAGTTCAGCCACTTAGCCATTACGCTAACTGCTGGTCCCATCATGATATATTTTTCTATGTAGAACTATGTCATGACTTTTCTTTGAGAGATTTTTGTTGTTAGTTATGTGTGCTTGCCAGAGAGACAGAGACAGAAAGCAAGAAATCACCCCCTGGAGGGATGACCATGCAGCAATCCCTCGTCCTATATTCTTCTTTTAGGATTTCGGGCACGCATGGACATATACACTTATCCAGCATGAGTTTTAAGCTGCCAGGTTCAGTACTTGAACTCCGATTGACTATGTGGGAGTCCAGCAACGTAGCTACTATGCCATCTGCTGGTCCCTCATCATGACTTTCTGAGGACTCAATAGTTCGTCACCAAAATGAAGACTTCCTGAATGTCTGCTGTGTGTTACTAGCACAATGCTTGATAAGATCTAGTGATACAGAGAAGCTTATAGTGCTAGAATAATTATATTTTCTCTTAGAATTCACATTTGTAGGGACCAGCAGTTGGTGTAATGGCTATGTCACTAGACTCCCATCTGGTTGACCACGGTTTGAGTCCTGGGCCCTTTGGCTTAAACTCACGCCAGGTGTGTGCGCGTGCGTGCCCAAGATCCCTAGAGGAGAATGGAGGAGAAGGGTTGTGGCGTGGCCATCCCCTCTGGGGAGTGATTTCTCGTTTTCTGTCTGTCTCTCTCTCTGTCTTTCTGGCGAGCGCATGCACCCTGTAACAAAAACCTCTCCAAAAAACCCAAAGAATTCACATTTGTAGTTGATTGTGGCCTGCTTTATTACACTTATGTGTTAATTTATATGTTGAATTTGTGAGTGTTTGAAATAGAAACAAACTAAAACCAGTTTTGATTTCACCCTGCAAAATGTCTTGGAATAGATAGAGTAGATGTTTTGTTGATCTAAAATCAGAACAATCAATATGCAGCTTAATTAATATATCAGTGCCATTCCATGAAATTAGTGAGGGGAATTAATAAGCCCAAATGGGACTTTAAAAATCCCAGTTTATTTATTTTTTTTAAGAGGAAAAAAGTACTTTTAGAGCAGATATAGATGGAAATGTTTCTTCATTTTTGCCTTAAAGAATATTATACTGTTCATGTTCTTGCCATATGATGACTCAGTGGGGAGGAAGGGAGCCAGTTTAAACCACGTCAATGAAGAGGAACTATATATGGTAAAATCTGTTTCTTAAAACAGCCTTATTGCACTCAGTGAGGGAACTCAGTCACCAGGTCTTAAAATGATTTGCAAGGGGGAGAAATTTCAAGGATTAAAATGACACCAAATAAATAGATCAGAAAAGACTATTTTCTTTCTCTTTTATTACATTGTGGTTAAGTTTTTTTTTTTTAATACTGGCTTTATCAAAATAAAAGAATGATCAAATTGTCTATTGATTTTTATTGGAAAATGGATTATTTTCATCTTATAACTGTTCTTGCATTCACATTTGAAATAATGTGAAATAGGACAGTTTTTGCTACTACAGCAGCTTACCTGACCCTGTAGTAATGCTAGCTCTGGATTCTCTGGCAGCATCTGCTTCCAGTAATCTGCTTAAGCAGATAGTTTTTCATTAATAAGTGATCGATATCTTAGATTTGAATTAAAAGACATTTTCTTTCTTCTTCTTCTTTTTTTTTTTTGCAAAGCAATAATAGGTTTACAATCGTTTTTATAATTTCAAAAATCTCAACTTATGTCTTCTAACTTAGACATTTGGCAAATGTTTTCTCGCTTAAAGTATACTCAAACAAGGATTTTAAGATTTAAACTATCTGGGACCAGCGGGTGGCGTGGTGGTTAAGGTGCTGGATACTCCCACATGGCTGGCCCTGGTTCAAGTCCTGGACCTGGTGACTTGCTTTCTCTCTCTCTCTGAGTCTCTCTCTGGTCAAATTAAAATAAATGAATGAATAAATAAAATAATTCTTGAAAAAAAAAGATTTGAACTACTCTTCTGTACAGTTATAGTCAGAAAATATTAAGTGGAGTGATTGTTTACTTCTTTCTACATTGTATTATGTGGGGTGGGCAAGGAGTGGGGTGGGGCTCTGAAGGAAACGGGAGAGAAGTCAGCCTTAGCAGCCTCTTCCTGGCACCAGGGTTTGATTTATGCCCCATCCCAGGCTCTTTCTCCCACCTTCAACTTCTTTTTTGATTTCTCAATTTAAAAGAAAAATCATTTATTTACATCTATATGCTTAAAATAGCCATTACAAACTTATAGATTCTTTATTCAGTAACTTTTTGGAAAACATTAGTATCCATGTGAGTATTTTCAGCCTGATGAGTGGATACTTTTGACTCGCCCAGTTCATTTGCTCATTACTTTGAGGTCAACATTAAAATTTATTTATATTTTATATGATAGAGCACATACATGTACAGATAAGAGAGATGAGCACCTTTCACATGCAGTCCTCCAGGCCATTGCATCTTGGGTACTCATGTGTGTACATGGAGTGGTTCAGGTTTGTTAGGCTGGAGATTCACACCCTCATGACCATGTGAGATCTGGCTTTTCTTCAGCAGCTCTGCTCCACAGAGCTGACCAAAAATGTAACATTCAAATAATATTTACTTTCTTTTTTTAAAAAAAAATTTAAAATAATTATTTTATTTACTGATTGATTATTATTATTATGAATTTGGAGAGAGAGGAAAAATGAGAAAGCAAGCCACCAGGTCTGGGACTCAGACCAAGGGCGGCCTTGTGGGAGTCCAAGTGCCCCAACCACTATGCCACCTGCTGGCCCCTAAATAGTATTTACTTTTTATATTTGAGTTTTATGTGTAAACTATGACTAGTTGACTTTACGGTGGTGATTGTGACCAATTTTACATATAAAGAAATTTGGCTATGGCTGAGATAATGAGAATACATTCTCTGTTTTTTGTATCTGTTCAGTTCTTATCAGGTGAACTGGGTTTTAACTTAAGGACAACAACAATTTTTGATTTGGAGAAAAGTATGAGTGGTTTTGATACTCTTTTTTTCTTATAGTTTGAACATACTAAAAAAACTAGATATCCTTTTTCTCTTCCGAGTTTATCTAGGTTATATTAATAAATTATTTGAGATGTGGAAAAATAAACTAGTCCTCCTGAATTGTTTAATACTACTTTGACTGGGACGTACATACTATTCACTCTGCACAACTCTCAAATGAGATGGATGTGAGCAGGCAGGTTATATGTTGCCTGGGCTGTCATGCCACGCTTCACTTCTGCATTTAAAGATTATTCAGGAAGAATTGCAGTGCACTTTTAGAAATTGGAGTTATACCTAGAAAGTGCCCTAGTCTTGGTGGCTCGGTGGTCAACCAACTAGGACTAGGTTTTATGAGTTTGGAAGAAAACATGCCTGAATAGAGTGTTTTATATAGGTTCTGAAATGTGAACATGAGGTACAGTAGCTCTGTGGTTAAGGGAACCAGGTAGCTCATGGACGAAGCACAGTTTGAATACTGGCCCTGGCAGCTTGAAAAATATGCTGGCTAAGTGTGCATTGCCCCAAATCCTGACGGAATGGAGAAAAAGTATTGCAGTGTGAACATGCCCCATCTTGGATTACTTTTTCTATTTCTCTCTCTTTTCCTTGCTGGTAAGTATCTGTGCCCTCTGGCAATTAAAAGAGAGTAAAATGTGAACTCAGTGGTTAATAATTCAGGTGGTATTAGGAATATGAAATGTCCTAATTTTAGGCAGATTTTTCATAAAAGCTTTCATCTGTTTAGGTCATGGCAAATATATTTAAAAAGCTCTGTTTAGGGACCAGCAGACAGGGTAATGGTTATATCACTTAACTCCCATGTAGTCAGCCGCGGTTCGAGTCCCAGACCTGATGGCTTAAAACATGCCAGGTGTGTGTGTGCCCAAAATCCTGAGAGGAGAATGGAGGACAAAGGATTGTGGCATAGCCATCCACCCCCTGCCAGAGGCAATTTCTTGCTCTGTCTCTTTCTGTGTCTCTGGCGAGCGCACACATCCTATAGCAAAAATCTATTTTTAAAAAAGTTTTCAAAAAGCTCTGTTGATAAAACACAAGTGAAATTTTGGACCTCAGAAAGTTCTGAGCTATTTAAAATTAAATGTGGCTCATCAACCTCATTTCCAACAAGGTTGCTATAAAGAAATCTTTGAAAATATCAATTTTTATATTTTGAAGGTTTAGTCAAAAGGCAGTATCTTTAAGGTGTTGCTAAGTTGTTTTTGTTTTGTTTTGTTCCATACCAAACGGTTGTACACAGTCTCTTTCTGTTAAGGGGTGCATTCATATTTTCTGTCCACCTTTGTGTTATAATGATGTAATGGTCATGCATCACATTCATGCACTCTTTTCATCATTCTTCTAATAATGGCATTTGGGGCCCATCAAATAATTTTTTCTGAATATTAACTATGTGGTTTTTTATTTTATTTTATTTTATTTTATTTTATTTTATTTTTTATTTATTTATTTTTTTAGCTTTTTGCCATAGGGCACATTTGCCCACTGTGGGGGAGACAGAGAGGGAAAGTGAGAAATCACCCTCAGGGCTTTTGAACTCAGTGGCTGGGGCCTACTCTAGCTGCTCCAGTCATATGGGATGGGCAGCAGCAGGGTTGGCATGAGCAGCCTGGAGCTTTGACCCATTATCAACAAGATTACCTCTCACCTAAACCTTCCCTCCGTGGATTAACAGGAAAGCCAGTGATGGTGAACTTCAAGTGGGGAATGGAGTACAAGGGCTACCTGGTGTCTGTATATGGCTCTGTGAACATACAGCTTGCAAATACAGAAGAATACATAGATGGGGCGTTGTCTGCACATCTGGGTGAACTTTTAATAAGGTTTAATAGTAATAATGTCCTTTATATCAGAGGTGTTGAAGAAGAGGAAGAAGACAGGGATATGAGAGAATAGCATTGTTTGTTTGTTTTATATATATTTCTAGACAATGAAGATTTGTTTTTCAGTTTGAAAAAAAGAAAAAGTATTATACCCTTGTGGTGGGAGGGGAGTGGCCATGTCACAACACTTTCTTCTTCATTCTTCTCTTGGGATTTTAGGTGTACACACACACACACACACACACACACACGTGTGCGCGCCTTATCTATTTTTCAAGCCTCCAGGTCCCAGGACTCGAACCTCACAATCAGCCATTTGGGATCTAGCACTTTAACCACCATGCCACTTGGTGACCCTTCTATTTATTTATTTTTTTTTCAAACACCGCTAATAGATTGTGGTGATGCCTCATTCCTTTTTCCTTCATTTTTCTATCCAGTCAGCATTTTCAGCATGCACACACACACACATGCCTGGCATGTTCCTCAGGCTACTGGGCTAGGATTTGAACCTCGGCTTGCCCATGGGATTTAGCTCCTGATGCTCAGGACTTAGGCACTATGCTATGGGGCTGGCCTCATGTACATTTTCAAATAATTACAGTACTATACTCTCAAGTCAACAACAGAACTTCCTCCTCCCCGCCCCCCCCCCAAGGTTTTTGCCGTAGGGAATGTGCACTCACCAGGGAGAGGCAGAAAGAGAGGGAAAGTAAGAAATCATCCCCCAGGGAAATGGCTACACCACAATCCTTTCTCCTCCTGGTATGTTGGGCATGCACACACACAGGCCCAACATGATTTTCAAGCAGGTCCAGAACTCAGCCATGGTTGGCCATGTGGGAGTCCAGCACCTTAACTACCACTCCATCTGCTGGCCCCAACAGCAAAACTTTTTAATATTTATTGATCAGTTATTTATTGTGCACTTATGTGCTGGACACTGTTCTAGGTACTTGGGATTCATCAGTAAACATAAATATCTTTATTCAGTATAGCTTATATTGAATACAAACTTGGTAAGGACAGTAGAGACCATGATTCCATTCCTGTAGTGTCCTCCCTCCACCCCGAAGTTTTTAATTGCCTTTTTCTTGTAATATCTGCTCTTAAAAATAAGAGTAAGCAGACTAAATTATGGGTATAATAAAAAACCCTGCTTCTGTGAGCCAGTAGGTGGCATGGTGGTTAAAGAGCTGGACATGGCACACTGTAATTTGAGTCCCGGACCTGGTGACTTGCTTTCTCACCTTCTCTCTCTCTCTCTCTCTGGTGAACACACATGTCCTATGGCAAATTAAAATAATAATATAAATGGTATTGTTATGTTGCTGGATTCCCACATGGTTGACTGTGGTTCAAGGTCCAGACCCAGAGACTTAAAAACTCACGCTGGGTGAGTGTGTGTGCGTGCCCAAGATCCCAAGAGAAGAATGGAGGACGAGGGATTGCAGAGGGCCACTCTCCCCCGGGGGTGATTTCTCGCTTTCTGTTTCTCTGTCTGTCTCTGTCTGTTTGGTGAGTGCACGTGCCCTATAGCAAAAGCCTCTCAAAAAAATTATAATAATAAAAAAAATTTTTTTAGGCCTTATGTTTTGTTTTTTTAAAGAGTTATTTATTTGTTATTTTTATTTAGTTAGTTTTTAAATTTCCTATAGAACACCATGCTCACCAGAGACAGACAGAAACAGAGAAAGCAAGCTGACAGGTCCAGGACTCTGCGGTCGGCCTCATGAGAGTCTAGTGCCTTTACCACTACACCATGTGATGGCCCATTCCT